GAAGTCTAAATATGTCTCGTCGTCTGTGTTTAAATCCGGACTAGCAACTGGTCTTATTTCTCCAATCATGAGAATATACAGATTAGATTCTGCTCCCCAAAAGAACTAGATTAGCGATTCTCTTAAATAACTAAGTCTTGTTTAACACATGCTATTACTGTCAGAAAGATAGTCACATCCTCTGAGAGCTAAGCTCAATATCATTTGTCAATTAATAGTTGCCAATTTCTTCCGTTCCAAAAGGCTCACAGGATTATGAGAGTCTTAATTCTGAAGCGTCATAATTCGCGCTTATCCGTTTCATTTAGCATCAGAAATCAGAGTCGATCGCCTTTCTCAATTGTTTCGCGGCCGGCATCTTCTTTGCCACTTGTATGCTGCACATGCTGCCTGAGGAACCCGGATGAACTCGATTTTAAATTCAGAAACTACGAGTTTTGTAGTGAACAATGCAACTGGAATCAATAAAATATTTATTCCTTTTCAAGAGACCGTTTCCATTGCGGTTTGTTCCGACGCATAAACCAACATTTCCAGTTTCAATTCGCCAAAAGACGTATGTTCTTCCGGGCACAACCAAGGTCAATTCTTTGCTCAACCACAAACTTGGCAAAAATTAAGAATAAATGGGAATAAGATTTTATTTCTAGGAAATTTTTCTTTTGAGTTTAAGACTCTGATTTTACCGCTTTTACAAGTACTTGCCTTTTGATCTTTCGAGTATTATCCGGGGTAGGTATCCGAAAGTATGAAAGAAGAATTCGAGGTCGAATATCCACTCGCGGAGGTAACAGCTGCGATCGGCTTCTTTTTCGTCTTGATGCTCGAGCAGCTCGTCACTTCCTACTGCATCGCCAAGAACCACAAAGACATCACTTCAAAAGCACACAGAGTAATCTACCGGTCCGGGCGAATAATGAACCAGACGTTGGAGCGAAGCAAGTTCAAGTTGATATTCTGGAACGGAGAGATCTATATACATTTTTGATAAAAATGATTCTAAAAACTAGCAAACATGAAATAACCATGCTTCTCTTGTCAAGTTTATATTTTTCCTCATTTAGAAAGATAAACCTCCCGATAAAGACAAATTCGAATGTTGTCCAAAGCCCAAAATCTCAGCCAATCGACCCAAGCTACCAGATCAATGTTCAAAGCGGTAGTTACAATTGATTATATACAAAATCTAACGAATCAGGCTATGTTTTATAAAAAAACTTTTGACATCTAAAAATCCAGAAGAAGACGACCATGGCCACTTCGACATGACAAGTCAGTCAAAAATGAGAACACTGATTCTGGTGGGCGCGCTGAGCTTGCATGCGATCTTCGAAGGGCTTGTTTTTGGGCTTTCGAGTGGCGAAGTTGGAGATATTTTGGGGACAATGTCTGCTGTGCTTATTCATAAGTCAATAATTGCGTTTTCGACGGGGATGCAGCTTGTTTCCTCGGAGATAGAGGCAAGTTTTTAAAGCTATTGAAAAAACAAATTGCGCATAAATTTATATTGCTCATTAGCAAACAGCTGTAAATAACGGTATGTTTAGCATGCTTACCTATGCAGCGCAATTTGTATTTTCTCAATGATGGCCCCGCTGGGTGTCGGAATCGGAATTCTAATAACAAGTTTGGGCGGAGAAACGATAGGTGCTCTTATTGCGGTTTTGGAGAGTTTTGCTACGGGAACGTTCTTTTACGTCACGTTTTTGGAACTTGTGCCGCATGAATTTGTTGGTAAACATGTTAAAAATGGACCTCTAAAGGTAATAAACATGGTATAAGTTCCTTTCTAAGATTATTCTAGTGCTTCATCATGTTCTCCGGTTTCATGTTCATGGCGATATTCCAGTACCTGAATCCGGAGGAAGAAGAGTAAATCATCATTCTTCCAGTTTATTTTCCCGTAACTGTAAATTTGACGATAAACGACTGTATCTTCCTTTTTTTACCTGATAAACATAACTGCAAATACTTGTAGCTCTGATATATTAAATTATATACTCTTAAATAAAATATCCTTTCATTTAATAAATAAAAATAGAACCAAATTGGTTCGCATTATGCGAATAGTCGAGAACAGATTAATGAAGCATAAAATTTGCATTTCGGTTATGGAAACGAGGCCTTAATTCGGCCGCTTTTGGTGATAGCATCGGTCCCACACTTCCGCTTCCCTTTCAAGTTACAATTATTTCGCGAAGCACGAAAATTGAGATTCCGGTACTCATCCGTAAAATTGCCCTCATTTGATGGCCTCCTGCAGTCGACAGTAGCAAAAGCAGGTGCATCTGCGCACGACTGACAGTATCAGTGGCGTAATGTCCACCTGTAGGCGCTTGAGAGCTTGTTCTAGATTTTTATAAATATCAAGTACTTCCGTTCAGCAAAACAGAATATCCAAAAAAGCAAAAAACAAGAAAATGTCACTGAGAATCCGAAGAGCTCCTCGATATGACAGTGTCACTGTCGATCGATCGATGTATCCACCAAAACTTCGTAGAGACTCCAGATACTTCTCCTCCTGCACGAACTTGAACAAAGTCGAGATAGACCTCAACCAGAAAGTCTTCGATGCAATCACTCAGAAAGCAAGAAGTCCCGCCATGACGAAGAAGTCTAAGACATCAAGATTCTTGAAATTCTCAAAAATTCTTCTGAGAAAGTTCGAGAAGGATTCGAAATCAACGCCGAAGAGAGTGCACAAGAGATCAAGTGAAAATTTAACCACCAAAACGCCAATTGTGCGAACTAGAGAGCAAATTATCAATTCCGGGTTAATCATATGGGAGGAAGAATCAGAACCAGCTTTTGCAGTCCCAGAATGATTTCATTATTTCCTTCTTCGCTTGTAAACTGCCTGTATATAAATAAACTGCAAAGATATCCAAATATTTTGTCGTGCGATAGTAGGACAAGTAAGAAAAACTTTTCAATACTTATCAATATAATAAATGATGTATTGAAAGAAACTGAAACGAAATACAGAAATTAAATAATCAATTTTTGATGCTGCTGGCGATAGCGGAGCAATGCATAAGTCAAAGTGAGGAGAGCAACAAGGATGAGTCCAGTAGCGATCCATAATCGCTGTGTGATTTTGTTTTCGTTCGTGGTATTTTCTTTGCTCTCTACGATGATTTCTTCATCAATGTTTGTCTAAAAGAGCTTGATCATAAGAACAAAAAATGCATAGAAATAAGTTCGTCGACCCGAAGGGGAGATTTCTGTTTATCTACATAAATACCTGATCATTTCCAAACGCATCTTCGAAGAATCGCTCTTTCACAATAACATTCGCTAAATCGCTGATGACTTCTTCTTTTTCTTGTGGGTTAACGATGATGAATTTGATCTGGACGTCTTCAGTCGTTGGCTTGTCGGAAGAAGCTTCAAGCGCAGCCCTTCTTCGTCGGTTAGGGTTGACGTGTACTCGGCAGGTCAGGTAGATCTTAGTGCCGGGAGTGAATTGGAACATCTGGAAGTGAAATCCAACACCTTCAGGGTCGTAACCATCGCCTTGGATTATTTTTATTTATCAAAATGTAAAATGACTCATATTTCATGAACCTTTCGCTTACCAATAAAGCCTTTCTGCAAGTCAATGCCAACAGGGAAAGGAACATCAGCGGGAACAACGCCGTCATTGATGATAGTAATCGACTTGCCCATGTTATCAGACACGGTACAGATATCAAGCTCCATCGAATGAAGACCAGAACCAATATCGCTTTTTGCGGTAACACGGACGTGAAGAGTCTCACCGACGACGTAAACAATTTCACCTTGAGGAGTGGCCATGTTGTTAGCGGCGATTCCGGGTCGGACGCTCCAAGCAGTTTTGTAGAAAGACATGACCGGCTGCCAGAACTCGATTTGTTCCATGCTGCCGGGAGCGCGGACTTCGGGACGAATCACCGAGACAGCCGGGCGAATTTCAGTTTGGCAAACGACTCTTGTAAGAGCGCGCGGCATGCTAAGACCGTTGAAATTTTTGTGCGCTTGCTATAAAATTAACCTGATCAAATCGTTGATTCTGTCCATCACGAACGTTATGTGTTTGGTAAGTCCTTGTCCGTCAAAGCCAAGTAGGCTTGGGCATTCGAGTTCGTAATAGCCAAGGTTTGAAACTGTCGCTGGTCCACAGACGGCGCCTGCTGCTGAGCAAACACCGTTGGCGCATCCTTAAAATTTCATGACTTCTTATACTTTGATAGATGTTTTTAACCATGAATTCCGACGTTAGGGATGCCACGAGCGTATTCCTCAACTGCGCCAGCAGGAATCCTGATTTTGATGCCGGTTGAAGTACAGAGCGGAATAGCCTCGTAGTCGCAATCTTTTCCAATGAATGGAAACCCAGCTAAAAGTTTATTTGAAAGTGAATCTCTTCTCTTTTTCCTATACCATTCGGTCGGCAATAGTAGTCATTTTCATCCTCGCAGGAAGTCTCGCACTCGCATCCGTTATTACAGGGATTGTCAATGCAAGATAACGCGGCAGCAACGCCGAAAAGAAACAAAAAATTGAACATAAATCTCTAACTTAAAATTAAAATAGAAAAAACTCAAAACAGTCCGCTCTCGATTTTGCAAAGAACGCGACTGAGGACCGGTTGTTTTTAATAGAGAGCGAAAATTTTTTATACATCTGCGATCTGATTTCGAAATTTTCAGTTGTTGCGTATGACCTCTAAACCAAAATGTCCTCTTCTTCCTTAGCTGATACTTCGAATCTTGTTTGAAAAAGAAAATTAACTCCATTATGCCTTACTTAAGTATCCCTTGCAGGGTTCCCTGCTCTTATAAATTGCTTATGCATATTGTCACTGCAAGAATCAACAAAGACGATATTTTAACTGAAAAAATAATTTATTTGAACATAAGAAAACTTAAAAAGAAACTTAAAAGTTAAAAAGAACAACCAAAGGCAGATTTATCTTCGCCCATAAGGGCCTCTTCTTCAAGCCTCTTTTGAATGATCATTTCTCTTCGTTGTCTGAGGAAGATAATGAGGAGAATCGTGAAGGCGCCGAGGAGACTGATGAGAAGGTATCGAATCCACATGAAGCTAGCTGTTTCCGTTAGGATCTTTTCGATCTCTTCAACCTCTTCGTAGACCTTAAAAGACGTGTTAATTTTTGGATAAAATGGTAAAAGGTTATTTCAGTGATTTACTTCAGATTTTAGCTTTTTGCCGCTAGACTCGATGAAGCTCGTCCCGTTTTCGAAGAAATCCAAAATTTCATCAGCAAGATTGATTGTCGTCCTGGTGGTACTGGGTGTCGTGAAGTTTCCATGGAAAAATTCATCAATCATTTTGCCAAGATCAACGGTTGTTCTGGTCGTAGTCGTTGTCGTGGTTGTCGTCGTCGTTGTCGTAGGAACGTCAGCGTAGATCGTGAGTGTTTGGAGATCCTCAATGATCTCTTCAATAAGGGCGTCGATGTCGGATGCTTCTTGAACCACGAAGAATGTAACTTCGATTTGTTCTTCATCATTGCCAAGGTCGTAATACTCATCAGAAATGCTATAAAGCTCGGGCAAGTATTCATCTGATTCGTACTCTTCATAGTAGTCTTCATATTGGTCAAGAAGTTCTGTCCATTCGGAGAAAGTATGCTGTTCATTTTCATGGAGCAAGTAGGGATCGTATGAAGATCTTCGTCGTCTTCTGTTTTTGTCCATACGTACGGAGCACATCAGCGTGATTTCTGTACCAGGCGCGAACTGAAACATTTGGAATTGGAAGCCAACTCCGGGGAACTCCTGGCCACCGCCAACCGATCCAGCAGCGCGATCAACAACAACGGGGAAAGGCAGATTTGGCGGGACAACGCCATTTGACAAGATTGTGATCGCATGGCCAGCGTTAACTGATGATCGGAGAGTGCAAGTGTCCAACGAGATTGTGTGTGGTGTCGGCAATTGACTCGCCGGAGTCCCGTTGTAATCTGCTTCTAATCTTACATGCAGCATTTCACCAACAACGTAGATGATTGTGCCAGTACCGGGAACAGCGAGATTATTCGCGGGGATTCCTGGGCGAACGTTGAAGTTAGTTTTCCAGAAGGACATTGTTGGCTGCCAAATGTTAACTTTAGAAACAGTGCCGACATTTCGAATTTCAGGGCGGATGACAGCTTGTGCTTGTCGAACCTCAACAACACAGTCAACGCGGGTGAGGGCGCGGGCATGCTTATGAGATCGTCCACTCGGTCCAAGACAAAAGTGACTGACGAGCGTAAGCTGCCACCGGCGAGAGAAGGTGTTACTGGACAAGAGGCGATGACGCTTGTGCTACCAGGAGTGACACGGAATGGTCCGCAAATAGCATCAGAGGGGTGGCAAATCGTACCAGCTGCACATCCGTGCACGGCCACGTTCGGAACTCCTGTGCATACCAGAAGATGGCTTCGTTTGGAACTGAGATGGAGACAGAGTCGGTGGTGCAACGAGGTTGAATCGGATACTCACAGTTTTTACCAATAAACGGGAAACCGACTGAAATAAAATGTTATTAAGGAAGAGATTTTGAAAGACTTTCCTTGAGGCTTGCAATAATAATTATTTTCATCTTTGCACGAAGGTTCGCAGGTGCATCCATTTTGGCATTCGCACTGGGGAGTAACTGGCGCGTCAGTTACAGAACCAACCGGTGGCACAATAACAGGCGAACCGTACCAGTAATTGACCAAATACTGGAACTCGAATCGCCAATAACCGCCAATGAGGCCAAAATTGACATCTTCTCCGTCATAGCTGTCGATTTCCATAATCATGTAGAAATTATCAAGCCAGGTTTGTTCGCGGAAGAGGAAGAGCGAGCAAATCGACTTCGTAGCCTCAACATGGCTAATTTCGGAAAAGAATCGGAGTTTGTCATTATGAGTGATGCTCGTAACGAAACTTTCGTGGTTGATGATGTTTACGGAGATAATGCGGTTTCGCTCGGCAGTTTTAACGTATCTTGATGAATTGTTAACGGAATACGAATCAAAGAAGCTTACTTGAGGTAGTAGGAGCTTAGGTTAACGAGTCCTGTCGATTGTAAGCCGGCTGCGTGTACAATTTCGGTGGCAATGGGTCCTACTCGAAGCGCTGCTGCCAGTCGTTGGTAGAGAACTTGAACACTTCGGATTTCGCAATCATGATATTGTGAGTCTTAGAATTGATTTAACCTTAAATATTTTAGAACATCCTACCTGTTGTTCGGCGTTTCCTATCAATAGTATCATATCTATAAATTGGATAATGAGCGTATGTATTAGAAGGAGCAGCAACGAAGACTTCAAAAGTAGTTCCTGACGGGTACACGCTGTTTTGCACTTCTTGGATGATTTTGTAGGCCATCCAATCCCAGTCGAAACTTGCGGCCCCACTGTCCCACTGGGCATCGATATAAAACATGACGTGTAGCTCTTCCTCGGTGAAACTGTAGCTCTGTGAGGTAGCAACGCCAGGATCATAATCTCCCCAAGGAGGAGAGACTACTGGCATACTAAAATATACCATTTTACTTGAATACGATGAATAATCAAACCTGAAGTCGTCGTTTGATGGATTGTTGAACAACATCGTGAAGGAGTTTAAATTGTCACAGAAGCCTCTAGCTTTCAAGGTGTTTACTTCGGCGATAGCAGCTGCGACGTTTGTCTTACGTACTTCTAATGTGCTAGTGTGCTAAAACTCTATTTAAGACCTAGTAGTCTTGCAGCCTACTTACGGCATTACACTGATAACTAAGATCAAAGACGACATTTGTATGGAGAGGGCAGACCTTCACATGCGCGGCTACCGTCCCCAGTAACAAGAAGATTAATTTCTCTAGCATAACTTAGGGTTGAAACTTAAAAAGGGAAACTTAAAATTGAAACTTAAAAACTCAGCCGGCGGAAATCACACGACTGGTTGAACGGCCGCTCGACCGGGGTTTTATAGGGTGAATCTTGACTTTGGCGCCACAATTTCGAAGAAATCTTGATAAAATTGACCGTTAAAAACAACCTGACCTGCTTTGCGTGTTTTTGTGTAACAACAACGAAGATTTGATTATGAATATTTATTTAATTCATATTTTATCATTATTAAACCTAGCACAATTGCTTTGTAATTAGAAATAGTCTACATACCTAAACAAAATGTGAACTGGCGGGAGAAGAGACAGGGACGAAATAAAAGAAATATAAACTATTTAGACAGTTGGAAGGGCAGCCTTGAGAGCTTGATCCAAATCAGCCAGCAAATCGGCTTCGTCTTCGAGGCCAACAGAAAGTCGGATGAATGTATCAGAAATGCCGAGAACCTCTCGCTGATCTTCTGGAACGGAAGCGTGGGTCATGATGGCAGGGTGTTCAGCGAGGGACTCGAATCCGCCAAGAGATTCAGCAAGGGTAAAAACCTACAAGCTCATAAAAATTGAAGTTATTAAAGTTTATCTACCTTCAAAGACGCCAAGAATGTCTTGGCCTGTTCGAGACCGCCCTTGATATAAAAGACGACCATTCCAGAGCAGCCACGAGCGACTGTTTTGAAGACTTCATGCTGTGGATGAGATGGAAGACCTGGGTAACTGACACCAGCGACTCGGTCGTGAGATTCGAGGAACTTGGCGACAGCAAGACCGTTCTCGCCGTGTCGCTGCATTCGAACGTGGAGGGTTTTAAGACCTCGGTTGACGAGGTAGCAGTCAAAGGGAGATGGTACAGCTCCGATAGCAAACTGGGCAAACATGAGCTTCTTCTTGAGCTCATCAGATTTCATGGCAAGGAGACCCATGACGACGTCAGAGTGACCATTCATGTACTTTGTGGCGGAATGCATAACAACATCAGCTCCAAGATCGAGAGGTCGCTAGAATATACTTTAGAAACATTGATAATGATCAACTGGCTTACAGAGTTGTAGCATGTAAGGAATGTGTTGTCGACACAAACGACAATGTCCTTGTTGACAGCGTGGACCTTCTCAGCAATGGTCTTGACATCTCCAACTCGAAGAAGTGGGTTGGACATAAGCTCGAACCAGACCATCTTAGTGTTTGGCTTGATGGCAGCGACAACGTTATCAGGGTTTCGAACATCAACCATGGTGAATTCAACTCCGTGCTTGGAGGCGACTTTGTTGAAATATCGGTTGGTTCCTCCGTAGAGATCGTCTCCGGTAACCGCGTGGTCGCCATTCTGAATGACGGCGTAAATATCAGCCTCGAAAAATACAATGATCTCGTTTACTCTCCCGACTAATTGGGAGGCGTACCTTCATTAAGACCCGTTCATCTAGCGTTGGATATGCTGAATTACGAGCGTCTCGGAGAAGTAAGTTTTAAACCTATCAAAATAACGATGTTATAATGATGATTGAACGGACTTCTTAGAATAAGTAAGCTGTTATTTAAATCTTATGTAACAAGTCAAAGCCGAAGTGCTTGGAATTGAAAATCCTCAATTGCTTACCTCAAGAAGTGCTTCAACCATTGACATGGTAGCGGCGAGTCCAGAAGCGTAAGCAAGAGCGTGCTTTCCATTTTCGAGCTTGGCAACGCACTCTTCAAGGCATTCTCGGGTTGGGTTGCCTCCTCGAGAGTACTCGTATCTGTCGTGACGGAGAACTCCGGGTGAAACCTGCTTGAAGGTAGTAGAAAGACCAATCAAGGGAACGACCGATCGAGAGTCCCACTTTTCTGGTTCCTGTCCAGCGTGGATAGCATCAGTTCCGAAATTCTTGAAGGGTGCTTCTCCGCTAAAAATTTACAGTCAACAATCTGCGCGAAAGCACAGCCCAATTCAAGTTTGTATTACAAACAAGAGCGGCTCTTGCATGAGCGAACCCGTTCCCAGGTTTAACTTTATCAAGACGATTTTACGGAAGCCCTTTCAAAAGTTGAATCGGCCAAAAAAACAAAGCATGATTTAATCGTAAAAATCTACACTCCGGTTTATTTCAATCTTGGGTAGAGCTATTTAAAATTCTAGAACATTATCCATCAGGTTTATGCAAATTTCATCGCGAAAGGATACCTATTCAAACCTCATTCTTATCTAACTTTTGAGGTGCGGAATTTAGTAAAGTCTCATTTAATCTTTCATACCACGCCCTTTGGAGAAAAGGCGCCGCCACGTGGGGCTGTATAGGTGTTTGCGTACTAACCTCATGATATTTTTTAAAAATCGTCTGGAAAAGGGGTAAGGTGTTGATGCTGGGGCAGTCTCTTGAAGAGTGAGGACAGAAGGCGGATGCTCGGTGGGACGGACTTGGGCTGTGCCGCTTTTGATTGGTCAACCGGTAATGTTCAGAGGCTAAACGAAGCCACCGCCGGTGATATGATGCAATCTTAACACTTCAAAACATGTCCTCAAGGAGCACCACCAAAGCATCTAGAATCCGATTCTCCAAACGTCAGCATCACGCAACATTTCGACAACACTTTAGATACAGTAAGCCCGCGGAATTATTTGGTTTGAACACGCCCAGAGTGTGGTCAAGGGCGGTCCCGACAAGAAATGTTGAAATAACTTTTATAGTGATCTACCCTACAACTCGCTACTTAGTGACTTTATTGATATTGTCGGACATTTAATCGTTTTCATCGACTGTAAATATTCTTCTTTTTACATCTTTGAAGAAATTAACTGTTACAGGAATTGTACCGTCCCAAATATTATAATTTTGTTGCATAGTTGCATAATTATTAATTATTATTTTGGTACGTATCGTGGTTCAATTTCGAATCAAGGTTCTTGATAATTATTTAAGAAGCACTTTCAATCAGTCTGATCACTGATCCATCATCATTGTTGCGCGACCCTAACATTGGTTTTTACTGCTTACAGCTGGTCGTTTTTATTGGCAATGAATGAAGATTATTTATTGAGTTCAACGAGTCCGTTCAGGAATTCATTAAACTCATTATTCAAAAAAGTTCGATACTTCTTTATTTATGTTTGATAAATGAGGCAGTGAAGCTAAATGTCAAAAGCAGCAAACTTGAATGAGTTTCAAGTT